ATCCTCGCCATTTGCAGCTGAGAACATCTGTTTATTGTTGGAGTTCCTTGTTCTCATCATCCCTTTAAGAGAGTAGGGAAAAGAGCTTGGTTTGGGAGATCTAGGGGCTCAAGTATGTATGGGGAGAGGGGAGATTCCTCACTGAGCGTGTTCCAACCAGGGCCGAGCACGACGGGCAAAGGCCTGAAGGGGCATGGTGCCGTTCCCGCCCTCCCTAACCCCCCAACATCACTGTTCTACCTGCAGAAGTCCCTTCTGTCCTGCGGTCTGTGCCACTTGCTCAGGTCATCTTTCCTCTACTCCAGGAGGCCCTTCCACTCTCCTCAGTGGCTTTATTATCTGTGTCCTGCCTCCCCATCTTCTGGGCCCCGTTCCTTGCAGTCACTTTCAGGAACGTTCCTGCGTATGACTCTCATCACCCTGACAAGTGCTTTTTCCCTCGACTTCAAGAGCCACCATTTCTACACCACTCCATACCAATGACAGGACAGCATTTCATACCTCTTGTCAAGAGCCCACCAGAGACATCCCTGTAGTTGAACAAGTTGTGTCTATTGGTGCAGTGATGGAGACCTCCCACCCTGGGGAACCTCACACTGTGAGGCACCTAAGAGTAAGAGAATGTTAGAAGAAAAGATTTATAGGACTTGGGCTCCCGTTAGGCGATTTGGGGGAGGGTTTAAAGACGCAGGGCTTTGCTCTGGATTAGATGCTGTCAGGAAACGGGGTAACTCTGTGACTGGCTATCTTAAATCTCACCTACCGGGAAGGTGCACCAGAGCAAAGGTAAAGCTGTAACTGGGGAAGAAACAGCAGTCACCCATTATCTGGGCTTCTGGGTATTTTCTGGCTTGGTCACTGTTCATGCTTTGCCTGTGTTCAGATACGATTACTGAGTGGTTGCGTTTCTGTTTTCTTCCATCTCGGTCTCAGAGCGGCCTTATCTGGTGCTGATTTTCCATGAAGTCATTAATGTGCCACAGGAGGACCCCAAAGGCCCAGCTCTGAATGCCAGGCTAGCTCCCGAATGTCAGGGGTGGCTTTTCTCTCTCAGTCTTCACACTTGGACCTGCTCTACTTAGGAGACGTGTTTGCCTCCTTGAGCAGCGCCTCCACCAGCTGCCTGCTCCCTTAGCTCCTGTGGGGACTTGTCCTCAGCCCTGCCATGTTTCTCCAGTTTATCAGCTCCTTTCCTGGCTCACTGCTCTCCCTAACCAGACAGACACTATGTGGTGATGAGCTGTTTTCATAGTATGCTGACGGCTGCCCAGAATCCCTTCCCGGGTTACCTTATCTCCTGTTGTTGTCCCCTTTGCCAGTCCGTTCTCCTGGGTGAGCCCCATCGTTCACTAGTCCCCTGTAGGTTTCTGAGCACTTACGCAGCACTTACGCATTCCAGTGTTTTCTACCCTCAGTAGTCCACAAAGCTACCTGGTGGTCCTTTTTTTTCATAACTTTTTTTTATGCCCTATTGTACTCCCTGAAGCCATTTGTCCAATAATACTTTCTTTGGGCCACCAACTCTACCCCGAAGTTCCAGAAGAGGGTTTCCATTCCCACCCTACTAAGAAGATGGACGCCATCTCATATGATCTACCTCAGCTTCCTTATTTTCCCTCATTTTTTTCTAAACCTTCACCCGTCCTCTTTCCTGTGATCCTTTCTGAAAGGACGAAGTCTCAGCCCTTTTATAGCCTAACCCTTCCACTTGTGTTCCTAATCCTGTCACCTCACTGCGCTCCCCAGCCATGCAGCCTCCTCAGCCTGTCTCCTTCCCTTCATGATGACAGTCCTAGCATGTGCTCTTCCCTGTCTGTTTACTTCCTCCTGGTTCACTCACACCTTACCACTTCTCTTCCCACCACTGGACCTAAAGTGATCTTGTCATCACTTTCTCTTAGACTTAACCATCTTTGACTTATCATCAAACTTGACAGTGTTAGACAAGCTTTTTCTTGGAATCTCTTGAGACAGTGCAGTGCCCTCTGGGTTCTCCTGGCTCATCTTGGTTTTACATTATCATAATTTCTGTAAGTATGTTCCCTCCATGACTCCGATTTCTTACCCCTTCCTCCTCCTTTCTGCGTTTTTTCTTCCTTTATCCCCATCTTCATCATTCCCTTTCTCTCCTGTTCCCCCTTAACAATCTCATCTACTCCCTAAACTTGAATAATTCCCAAATTTGTCTCTGTCCTTGACCTTTGTCCAGGGCTCTAGTTCTTTATTTCTAACTGCCTGCTAAACATCGACAGCATGATGTGTTATCAGTACCAAAACATCAGTTGTCTGAAACTAGAGTCATCAGTCTCCCCAAAACCCATTTCTCTGTACATTTTTGTCCCATTTAATGGCATCACTGTTCTATGTCACCCACAGTCATCTTTGACCATGAAATCCCATGGGTTACAGCTTTGTATTGTCTCTTGCATTTGGGCCTCATCTTAGGGTGCTTACCAAGCTAGACTTAGGTTGCTATGGAGCCTATTAACTTGTCATTTAAGGGCAGGGTACATGTCTTACTAGTCTCTGCTTGCCATTTGGGGGCCAGCGCAATGCCTTACCAAAGGAGACCCTCACTGTCTTTTGAATGAATGACTGTAAATTGAGTGTTTTAATGCTTTACTTGCATTCATGAGCTATTTGCCATTGAACATATTTTCCATCATTAGTTCTCTAAATACTTTTATTCTTAGCTGAGCAAGCACTAGATTAAAATTTCATTACCATGGCACTCCTGCTCTTTTTCAGGAAGAACAATTAGGTAAGGGTGCATGGGTTGGGAGGCATTAATTTAACCTTCCTTCTTTAGAGCCAGCTATAATACACAGGGTCATTATGTTTCCATGGAAATTTTAGATAACTTTATACATTGATTTTTCTGCTTTTTCTCTTCTTTATTTTTAACAAGTTTTCAAAATGGAAACTACCACCAGAGGACATAAGCTGCTATTGATAGTACATCAATATGATTCAGCTCTTCCCCTGCCCAGCAGACTGTGGCTGCTCTGTGCAGGCCTGTAATACATATTAGTTACACAGACATTAGAGGAGCCCTTCCCATCCATATGTATGTGCATGGCCCGTGGAAGTTAATAATGCCATATATCACGTGCACGGAGAATGTAAAACGTACTTCAGGATGACAGGGAGCTCAGATAAAATGAGTATTGGCTTACTATGAGCGGAAACCCAGGGAAAGATTTTTGTCCTTTCAAATCTGTTGACTGAATTATTTCTTTCTGTGTATCTTAGTATCCCAGACCCACATTCTGTATGGGTTTGCTTTTTGGGTTTTTTTTTTTTGGGTCAATACATGCCCCTCTCTCCAGCCACCTTATTTCACTTGGATAACAAAAGAACCCCTTTGGAAAAATGAAAGATAGCAATTACACATTGGTATTCATGTTACAGGAGTCACGCTGCTGTCCTTGGGGAATTTAACAATGAATATCCAACATTAATTGCCACAGTAACCGCATGTCTGACCTTGCTGAAATGTAATACATCGGCTTTACATAGTAAAATTATTTGCCACTAAAGGATTTCAAAAGAATCATCATAAAATTATATTGCTGTTTCAAATGACCAATATGTTTTGTGTGTTTGTTTTTAAGAAAATCCTGGAGAATTCAAATGACTAGGTCACTACATTTTCTTGAGAATCAGGACCCTGGGAGTTAAAATCACAATTTTATCACTGATTTGGTTGTCAGTTGTAACAAGACAAATGCCTTCCTATTGTTATGAAAGATGAATACAATACATTGACACTCCTGATTGATCTATGCAACTGATAAATAAGGCACAAGGACATAGTACTTTTTACTCATTGAAGGGAAAAATATTCTTTTTTAATGTTTGTACCTCATTATAGGTAGGATTTTCTGCCAGTGGCAGAAACATGCTAGGAACCCTAGGACATGTGTCCCCTTTTAAAAAGGTGACATCATTTTTAAGGTGAAGCTTACTTACTACCAACTTTTCTTTCCTTAATCTTTTACTTAAATGCTCAGAAATGCGGAAGCTAGACTTTCTTACATGCATTTTAAAGTTCTCCCCCCCCCCCATGGCTATCTTACACTTGTGGGGTGCTGCCCATCGGCGAATTTCACGCCCCATACACTGAGAGCGTTCCTCACACAGGGTTGGGCTGCACACTGCTGGGTCAGCAGCGAGCCCGTCTGACAGAGCCATGTCAGTGGGCCACGCGGGCTCTGGGCTCTGGAAGTTGTGTGTGCAGAAATGAATGATTGTTCAGCCTTCTCTCCTTTTTAAAAGGGACTGAGGTGAAGAAAGACAGCGCACTCACCCATGACATCCAAACTTCAGCCTAGATGAGATTCTAACTGGAGATCGTTTTTTGCTTGCATTCTGGCAAAACAAGTCCGTGATAAATTTGAAGGCATCTCACATCTGGGGGTGGGGAAAGTGAAATGGATGACAGAATTGGTAGTTTGGGGCTCACCTTTTAAAGACAGGCTGTGATGGACGTGAATGTGAGATATATCTACTACAACTAGTTAATATGGCTTGCTCATTGTTTTAGTGTTTAAATGATGGGTTATGTGACTTTCCTATTTCAATACAGTGATTGTTTAAAAAGCACTAACCAGGTAAAAGAGAATACACATGCAGTTAGTATGTTGTGTTTTTTGAAACTTTGAACTTCGGATGCCTTGATTCAAATCATTAAGGTAGCTTTAAAAACAAACTCTCTGAATCCTGTCCCCACTGAATTTTGTTTTTTTACTTTATTTAAAGTGTTTATGTCTCCCTAATGCTTTCTGTGTCCTAAGAACTTGAGCCTGGACCCTGGACAAGGACAAGAAGGAGATTCTTGACCAGGCTCCTAATTTATTCTGAACCTTGAAAGAAATTAGGGTGGAAAGCAACTCAAGAAAAATGCAGCTTTTGTCAGTTCCTTTTTTTTTCCCCCTTCCTTTTTAATTTTTCTCTCCCTTTTCCCTTCTCCCATCCATCACTCCCCTCCCCGGTGAAAGCAGGATGATGAAGTGACAACGGTGAGAGAGGGAGAGCAGAACGTCCTGGTGCTGAAGAAAGTGCTGTGCTGTGGCCCAGCCCCCCCGGGCGGGAGCGCGGACGGCGATTGGAGGTGAGTTTCCACCGAGGCACGAGGCACGCGCTCGCGCTCCCCGTTCCCTGCCTGCCGTCCCTTCGCTCGCTCCATCTCTCTCGCTCCCTCTGCCTCCTCTCCCCTCCCTCCCTCCCTCCCGTATTTTCTCCGCCTCTCGAGCGTTCTAGCTGACTGCAGAGCTCTTTGCAGCCAGATGGACTCAGTTCCCAGGGACGGGACGGAGATGGCCAGGATCTTGAGCATGTAGGGGGGAATGCCTTTGTTAGTGGCCCCTCACAATGGGCAGCTCCCGGCTGAGGGTCTTTGACCCTCATTTAGAGCGGAAGGATTCCGCAGCGCTCTCGGACCGAGAGCTGCCCCTGCCTACCTTCGATGTGCCTTATTTCAAATACATTGACGAGGAGGACGAGGACGATGAATGGAGCAGCCGCTCGCAGTCTTCCACAGAGGACGATTCAGTGGACTCTCTGCTCTCTGACAGATACGTGGTGGTCTCCGGGACCCCGGAGAAGATTTTGGAGCACCTCCTGAATGACTTGCACCTGGAAGAAGTCCAGGACAAAGAAACAGGTAAGACCCCGGGAGGTGTCTCCTGCTTGCAGACCCTGAGTGGTGGCTGCCCTGGTCAGCATCCTTGGGGGGCAGCATTCGCACTGTTGCTTACGCCAGGGGGGCTGACACAGCATATGCTTCGCGCCCCTCCCCCTCGGCCCCGTGCTGTTTTGTTTAAATCCAGTAAATGGACACATGTAGATCCAAGAAGCTGCCTGGGAAGTAGCTGTACAAAGAAAATGACACTGAGGCAGATGTTCTTGTCTCTTCGGCAATTTTTACCAAATCATACCTAAAGGCAGCTGGCAAGAGGCCAACATTCACTAGCCAGTGTTCGATGGGAAGAAATAAAGGGCCTGAGGGTTAGCAAGGATTCACCTGGCCTGTGGGAAGCGCTGAGCTGGGGGGAGTAGCCTCCCCGCCAAAATATCAACAATGAATGCAACTACTCAGCAACTAGAAGCTTAGCAGCAACTTCTGCCTTTTTTCTAAGTGGTTTACGGACTGCTCAGAGCATGCCCAGCTGCACAGAATGTGATACTCACAGCTCCTCAGACCAGAAATCAGAATTCACTGAAGTCTTAACTGATCCCACCTCTTGTCCTTTCTATGTAATCTGGGAGCAAAATGCCCATGTAGCGTTTTCACTTGCACTTTCGGAAACGCCACCAATGCAGTTACAGAACGCCCTACCCACTCTTCCTTTTCCACAGAAGGGTGAGTACTTGCTCATCTTAACCAGAATTTGTGATTTGTTCCAGCCTGGAGCAATTATTCCAATGAATGGGCCTCTGGCTATAGCCTGAATTCTGTAACTTGATCCACTGACTAAAGTGCACTTTTTGCCCCCACTGTGGCTCCTATGATGCCCAGGGTTTGCCATATATTGGCTGCATCAGTAAAAGGCATTTTTAGGTTATGTTAGAACAAAGTAACCCCTTAGGATTTTCCCATGCAGGAAAGATTGTGAACTGATAGCTTAGGTGGGATCACGAATTTTCTTGGATCCTAGTAGTTTTGCCTGAACCTAATTGATGTCTGGTTCTATATTGCGTTATAAAGGGCATTAAGAGAAGCAGAAGTGTGTGATTATATATATATACGTGGGTAAGAAAAAAAAGCAAAATGACCCAATCATGTATCCTATGTTACTGTTTGATCTCAAAATTCAAGTAAATACCTTATTTTGCATACTCATATGCATGTTTGGGGGGAAAAATCAATAGTTGTCATTTACACACAAACAAGCTAAAAGAAAAATGTATTCTCTTCGCATTTTCTGGGTTGTTTTTGTAATAGCTATCGATTAATATTTTCAGCATTTGAGCACTATTCCCGTGTTCTGCTTCATCAGAGATAATTATCATGGAACTGGCCATAATTTTCCGTGTACTGATTGGCAGGCCGACTGCTTTACACAGGTGGTTTGGACTAGATTACAAGCACATTTCCTGCCATGAAGAGGGCACCTTTAAACATGGATAGAAGTTTTGGGGGCTTGAACGCTTTCTTCTTAATAGCACCACAATCCTATTCTATAATATAAGACTTTGTGTCTAGGTCATTCATATTGATGAGTAGAAATTAATAAAGCCAGTTTCAGGCCTAAGTTGATTTCTTTTTTCTTTCTTTCTCATTGACAGAGTTTCTTGTGAAAGTCAGCCTAGGTGCCCACTAACAAATAGCCACTATTTAACACTGGGAATGAGAAATCTCTCTGATTACTGTTCCTAATGCTAGGAGTTGCCTCCTGGTGGGAAATGCTGTTGTGCATGGTGTCTTGTAACTGTTATTCCCATTTTTTTCCTTAATTATATGAACAGTGGGTTTAAATATGTCACTTTAGCCACATGCTCAGCAAAGCAAAAGGACTCAGTGGCTTGACCTAAGCAGGGCAGGAAGACGCCCGTTGGAGTCAGGCCCTCCCCATCCCTACTTATTTCCTTAGAGTTTGTAGTGGACACGCGCAGAGGACAAACTTCAGATGGTTGCAGAGGCACTTGGGGGTGGGGGGTGAAAATGGTAACAACTTTTCCTCCAGTCCAAGGAGGAATTTATGAAAATGAAAAAGTCAACTTCAGAGACTTTGATGGGTATATAATAGGGACGCCTAAGTGGAAATCACATGCAGTTCTTCAGAACTTCACGTTCAGCACTTTGGAGAAAAGACAACAGAAAGGCCACCATGAGGTTTTTGTTTAACATTAAAAGAAACATCATAAATACGAGATCAAATACAGTTTATGTACAAACTGAAGAAAAGTGGTTATGAATTTGTTCTAGTTTGAATACTAAATGAATCACATATTTAAAGTATTTGAGGCCCCTTGTCACTGACAGAGGTGAATTTCAGTTTTTTCTCTTGATCAGGCTGGCAACCCTCATTATAAGAGGCCTACAGTGTACAAGAGCATAATAGAGTCACATAAACATATGGAAGACAGATGGAGGAAAATGAGAAGAGCAGCAATAAAAGTATACAGCACCGTTTTTATGTTCGTGAGCGCCCCTTCTCGGGAGGTGGAGCCATATGGAGCCTGGGGCAGCCAGATGGTGGTCGTCCACATGGCCCCCTTGGCAATGAGGAGGGAAGGGTACCTGGGAGGGAATTAGTGGTCCTGGGGGCTGGGATGAACCTGTTCTGAATTCTCACATTCCGGTGCGGTCCCCTCCAGAGGCTGGGGAGGACAGCCAAGTAAGAGATGCAAGGGATTGCCCGTCTCTCTTCCACAAAAGTCTTCGTTGCGAAACTGTAGGTGTAAGGCCCCGTAGGAGAAAGCTTCTGTATCACAAGGGACAAGTCGAAGTGATTACTAATGGATGTAAAATGCCAGTGGAGAAAGAGTCTACTTAATGAAATGGAACAGGAAGGAGAATGGCAGGGCTGTTGAGACGATGCATTCCTGTTCCTACCTGAATCAGGAACAGAATAGAATACAGTTCAGATGGTATCCTCTCACCAAGTCAAACTGAGTTTTAGAATCAAAATAATATCAGAGATGCTTAAAAGCAACCTCCTCATGGCTTTCCTAAATGATTGGGTCCCCATAACACTCACCATGCTGATTTTCATATTCCCCTATGTGCATACCTTTCCTCCTCGGTCGTACCAGGCACAAGGAGTCATCCAGTGAATGTGGAATGAATGAATGAATGAATAAACCTTTATTGTTTAAAATGGAACAAGTATTTGAGTCTGGTAACCGGATATCTATTTCTGAACATGGAAAGGGATTGAAGCTGTTTTCAAAGATGTCCTTTTCATTTTTTTTTTTCAAGGTTCAGGTTCTAACTTGAACCATTTGGAATGTTAGAGAAAAATCAAGCCGCTCTATCTTTCATCTTCCCAGAAATAGGGCAGACATCACTGGGCATTCCCAGCCCAGGAGAATTCCAAGGAAGGCGAGAAGGAAGAAAGAACAGGAGTTGTGAGGAGAGGGGCTGGAGGAGCAAGTGGGAAGCCGCACCTGGACTGAGGGATCTGCAGCGGGTCCTGCTGCAGTTTAACCCTTCTCCTGCCCTGGAAATGATAACGTGTGTTTTATTAGAGGTGCTTCTTGGAATAACGATTCCTGTTTCCAAGCAGGGGGGAAACTATGTATCAGATGGATTGTATAGAGAAAAACCTTATTGATTTTTCTTTCTAAATCTGCATTATGATGGTTCGACCTTAGGGAAAACCCAAGAGGAAATGCATTTTTGGCTCCCCTCTTTTTCTTCATTTCCTTATTCTTCATTCATCTTTTTGATGAAAATATACTCATGAGTACAGGTTTCCAAGAAAACAAGCAAACGGAGAATAGGATAAAAGGACTAGGTAAAGCCTACCCGCTGAGTATAACTAGACTTGACCTGATTTCTTTAAGGTATGGCTGATTTTTCTACATCATGAGGTTATCATTCAGCATATCCTAGTAATGTGTACTGGGTGTGAAAATGTCCCTTAGCCTGCTTTGATTGTGTCATGGACGCCTCAGGGTTGGTGGTGTGCTTCCAGGGGCACCTAGTAGGTGGAGCTTGTCACTGAGGAAGTGAGTCCCTTTCCTTTGTAACAAGGCAACAACCTCTATGAAAGTACGTGGTCTATATTGTAGGAGTGTCTCAATCAATAGAGTCCAAAAGTTACTCCCCCTCACCAGTCTAATGGTTTTTTTCGTGCGTTATCGCACTGACGGAAACTTGAGTAAAGCTAAGACTGGCATTTCATTTTCTGTTAACTTTTTTTTTTTTTTTAATCTTCTCCCCTGCCAGCAACAAGCCTGGCATAAGCACTTGTTACATATTTTTTATGAAGAAAACATTAAGAATGCTTTTCTCCCGATCACTGGAAAGACAGAAGACACGTTAGGTGAACTTCCTTGATTTCCTTACCTTTTAGAATTTCTGGAAGGATGTTTGGTGCCTCAGTCCCAGGCTTTCTCTTGAAGGCGGCAAGACCTTAGTAACCCTGGGGCAGCATGGCTTTTGAGGGTAGGCACAGACATGTTTAGATGGTGGTGAGTCTCTCTATGATTTTGTGCAATTTATGTACACATAAAATCATCTTGTATTTATCTTTCCTTTTTATTTTTGTAGTGTCATGTAACAAATAGACCAGTGGATCTTATCTGAGGCTGCACATTAGCAGCACATGGGACACTTTAAAAAAAACACCAAAGCCTGGGTCCCACCCCAGAGTTTCTGATCCAGTGGACTTGAGCTAGGGCCTAAGCCTTATCGGCTTTAAAATTTCCGCTGATGATGCTAAATATTCAGTGTTGACTCACTGCCTCCCCTCCCCCTTTAAAAAAATATGTATTCCAAGTTTCTCATAGTTATAAATATATAGTTGCCTCTGAGAGTTAGGGGCCCCCTTCCTCCTTTCCTTCACCTCCCCCCGCCCCCTACATTCCCTCTCCAGAGCTTATGTCCAGCCTGATGGCCACTGGTTCCTGCCCTGGAGCCTCTGCAGCCTGAGAAATTCAGAATTCACCAACTTGCACTATTGGTCCATTAACTGAAATGGTTTCAAGAAAAGG